CCTGTAGACTTTCCCTGGGACAGTTTAGTTTGGAGAAAAGATGAGTAAGAAGGAACATGATAGAGGTATACAGAATTATGCATGGTCTGGAGAAAGAAACTATAAGAAAAGTTTTTCTCCCTCACTAAGAATGCTAGAACTTTGGGAAAGCCAATGAAACCGAACATTGGAAGATTCAAGACAAACAAAAGCTAGACGATGGAATTCACATCAAAAGTAGTGACTGCTACCAATGTGGATGGCTTTAAAAGAGGATTGGACAAACTGATGAAGCTGTCAGTGGCTACTAGTCACCATGACGGCTATGTTCTGCCTCCGCTGTCAGAGGCAGTATTCCTCTGAATACCAGCTGCTGGGAATCACAGGTGGGGAGAGTGCTGTTGCGTTTAGGTGGTGGGGTTCCTGGGTTCTTCTTGTGCTTTTGGAAGAAAGTGGAAGTGGCTATTTACACAATTCACATTCATTTCTCACCAGGGAATACGGGATATGTGTTCCCAGTCCCTTCCCCATGAAGAATGGGTGGTGCAAGCATCCACCAGCCTGCTGTTTCTGTCTTTCCTTCTCCTGCCCTGAGAAAGTCTGTAAGCTCATGTGGAGCACACACAAACACTTTCTGAGGTGAACACAGGGTTGCATGAACATCCCTGGTCAGAATTCCAGTGGCATAAATTTTCTATAGGGGAAGGGCTGGGAGAATGGTGTGTGTGGTGCAATTTCAAATGCACCATGAGCAGATGTCCATTGCCCCAGTTCAGGAAGGCTGTGATTGAGAGTGAAGAAGTGAAACTGTATAGGAGCTGGAGGCTCTGCCTGTTCCTGGCTGGCAGCCAGGCCTTGATCTCAGTAGGCATTTACTCACAATCCCTCTTTCCCAAACCTAATATAGTGCTTTGACAATGTCACCCTTGTTCCTTGGTGGGAGGGCCACCATTTTGTGGTTCACCTCAGGTGGCAAAAGGTTTTGGGCCATCCTTGATTCCCGTGACTCTGGAGGTAATGAAGAAGGGACCCCGAACCTAGCTGACTAGTGGTAAAAACATCTGGTCCTGGGGTGTCAATGTCTGGTTCTTCTGACAGCTCCTTCTGGACCTCCAAGGAGATCCCAGGTTCCGGGTATGGGTGGAGCTGAAGCCTGACAGCAGTAGCTGCTCAGCTGTTCCTCCACCTGCATTTAATCTTCTGAGATTTCATCCATTGCCTGCTCCCTCACCATGGGAGTTACTTCTGATCTTGGAGCAACACTGAGAGAAAAATGTCTAGGAAGAAGTGAGATGGGGAACCATCTTGCACTCTGCACTCCCATCCCACTACATTCCGGGGTGTGGGGAGATCATACTGCCATAACTTCTAGTTCCCAAACTACTTTTTAAAAAATTGCCCATGCCATCTCACTGTTATAGGAAACTGCCAATGACTTGATTCTGACAAATAGATCTGTTGCTAATGCCATCAAAATTCGCAAATCCCTTTCACGAGGCCCACTGGCATATCTCTGCTAGGGGCTGCTAGACTCACTGATACCTCCTCTCTCATCATCTCTGCTGAACCTTCTTTGAATGACCTTTGAATGGTGTAAAGCAGAACCAGTGAGAGGTGTGGCCTGGGGCATGTTCCAAAGGCCAGATAAGAGTACATTTTTGTAAACTTTACACTGACTTTTCCATTCCAATAGCATTAATTGTTTCCCTTGTAATTAAATGTGACTATTGAAATGTCTTTGTGTAGCCAGTTTCAGCCATATCTTTACATCCCATCTCCTATGCCCAGGAATACAAACAACAACATTTATTTGCAATAACTATCAGTGTCCTTGTTATATTTCTGTATTTATCAATTTTTATCCCTCTCTTCATCCGATGAACTGAGGACACGGCTCCTTACCCCATTTTGTCCTCATGACAACATTGTGGCGTCTATTAGTTTGAGATTTAATGTCCAGACCAAGATCACCCAATATACTTCCTCTCTTTGTCGCTGAGTGGGGATGTTTAAGTTTTATACAAATGTGTTGCAAGTGAGGGTGATTTAACTACATTATTGCTTTAAAAGCTGGGTGTATTTTGTATGTATTTTGTCCTTTCTGCACCTTTAACAGACGCAGCTGTCTTGTTCACACCAAGGAATGGCTACTCATGCTCATACTCTGTGGGTGATATGCAACTAAATTCTACTCAGAGTAGACCCACTGAGATGAATGAAATGACTAAGTTAGGCCCCTTAACTGGGGATACTCTGAATAAAACTTAGTTGAATAGCCTTGTTTTGTGCTTTTCATTTACTACTCAAACTGGCATGACATTCTCTGTGTGTGTTTGCACATAGTTGACTGCATTGCTGAGGTTAGATTTGCTGGAGTCCTTCCCTCTGGATAGGGCAAAACTGCTTGGCCTAATTATGGCAGATTATTAAATTAATTTGATAATTGGACAGCATATTTAAAAGAACTCCCCACCAGCAAAAATCAAGGAATAGCTCCTTTGTCTTAAAGTTCACCCTCGGAACAATTCGTTGCAGTTTCAAAGGGTGCTAGAGAGGATTTTTAAAAGAGAGGAAAGAAAATCATTACTCAGAGAAGTGTATTATTCTCTCGTCAGCTGTCAGCTTTCAACACTTATTTTGACAATGGTTGTTTTTGACAGAATTTGTAAGATGCTTTTCCTCACCCTGGGCCTGAGATATGATGAATGTGCCATACAGGTGACCTTTACCCAAGGCCACATGTTAATATTCAGAATGGTCCTTTTGTTAGTTTTGAACAATGCCTGTCTTTTTTCTTTCTTTCTTTTTTTTTAAAAAAGCTTGATTTGCCAATATGACCCTCTGTTAGAATGCTGGACCATTCCAGATTGGTCACCAGGAAGCATCAAGTGCCTTTGACTGAAATGACATGGAAGATGTATGGTCGAAGTGCTGTATGCAGCACCACTGCTGTGACATGAAGAAAACCACTTTGACCCAAATAGAAGTGTACTCAAACAATGTCGCACCAACCAAAGACAACATATTGGGAAGAAAAATGCTTGTGAACAGTTTGTGCTGGAAGATGTATTGGCCAGACTGCCATAGGGCAATCTTTGAACTATTGAAATCTTTAGAAATATTGTTTAGTACTTGAACAATACTTACAAACCTAATTAATCAAGCATAGATGCTCCTGCTCTCTCTTTACACAGTGTATTATTTGACTTCAAGAATAGCACTCTCAGATGTATTTTGAAAGGCTTTACTGTTTAGGCAAACTACTACTTCTAACGAGCAGTTGAGATTGCAGCTCCCTCTGTGCAAAGTAATCAGATAAGTGACATAATTATTAACAATGATATTGCATTTTACTGTTAATTCACTACTATAGATCTATGCTAGCATTAAGTGCAAATAAGCTAATATTTTCAGCTTAAGCCAATCCTATCTAACAAGTATTATAGTGCTTCTAAGGTATGCACCACAGCTTCTAGTGGTGATAATATGAATTATATATGTGGTGGCATTAATAAATATTGTTTAAAAACTATCTGAATATAACAGTTCAACTATGACAGCATTTTCAAAACCCCTTGTCCTCTGTGCAGCCTATTTGCTTCCACATAAATGTGCACAGGATCACCATTAAGTGGATTTCGCAAAATTCATAGGGAAAATGTTCTTATTTATTCCAGGAACTAGTATAATTGTTTCATTAATGAACTGGAGCCAGATATACACCACAATCTTTATTCCCTGAACAGTGCTGCTGGAGAGGGTTAGCATAAGGCGGAGGTGTCCCTCTGCTGGGCTCTGCCAGTGGAGGCGACTCCTCTGCAGACGTCCCTGTGCCACCTGATGGTGACAGGCTCTTGAGAAGCTTCTGGGGCACTGTTTTGGTTGGCAGTAGAGAGCACAGGGTGCTGAAATGGATCAGTACGCAAGTGGAAGTGGATCAGAGTCAGCATGGTCCCACCAGATACAAAGCTGCTGCATTCCATGGGAGAAGTCCAGTTTTGACCTGGCACAACAACAACAAAAAAGAAAAATCTGCCCACTTTCTTTCCTGGTCGTCATGCGTATCAGGGATTTGGATGTACTGCACTCCTCCCCAGTCCCATTTAGGATTTCTGTGCTGCCTTGAGCTGGTGCAACACAAAAGAAGGGGAGAGGGGAAATCTTACCACCATTTTTCACCTTGGGCAGCATGAATGGCAGGACTTTGCATATGGCAGTAGCTCTGCCATGCCACTCCATCTTGCTGCTTCAAGTTCCCCATAGGATTGCTCTGCTTGCCATGCTTAGAGTAGACCTACTGAAGTTGGTCATAGTCTAGAGTTGCCATATTTCAAACAGGGAAAATACGGACGGAAAAATTGTTTTTTGGCCAAAGTCCGGATTTTCCAGGATATTTTAGCGATTTCCGCTTGGAAACTGCTTCTGACTGCAGTATTCTGGATATATCTGATAAATTCCAGATGTATGGCATCCATCTCATAGTCCTATTTATTTCACTGAATGTACTGTAAGCATGACTAAGTCTGAATCCTAGCCAAAATTTGAGATTAAGACACAATACTTTTGGTACACATCTTTATGAAAGTCCACAACATTTATTGATTTATTTATGGTATTTTGCATTGCCTTTTAGGACATAGTCAAAACACAATACTGTGCATTAAGACACATTAATAATCAAATCATAATACAGAAAATTATAAAACAGCAGCTGAGAGTTGTAGGTAGGCCTCAATCATATTGTGCAAATTTTCATTAAAATTATGTAGCCTTCCAGATCAACAAGGCTTTCTAAGCTTTTTATTTTTTTCTGCTTTCTTGTAGGATATGTTTAACTTGGATCTAGAGTGCAGCAAAGGACTTTTCGAATAAACAGATTTCTTTCTTTAGGTCTGATTTTGTATGTGCATTCAGGTTTGGAACTATATATTGGAGCCTTAAAAGTCCAGATGCAACAGGTAGGGCTTAGCAAAGCATCAGGTGTTCTTCTAATTTTGCTCCTGTTTATTTGTGTTCTTCAGCCAATTTTAGAAGAGGACAGGTGCAGCCAGTGAGAACCAATCTGCTTGCGCATTGTGAATATGATGTTCCAAAAATGCCACCACCAAGTTCTGTCTCCAGTGGGGAAGAGATGGTTGGAATGGGAGCAATAGCATATCCTCACCTACCTATCAACCTGGAGACCACCTGTGTACACATTAAAGAGAAAGCAGAAGACACTGAAGCTGCTATAGAGTAAACACAGAAAGAAATGTAGAATGTCTCGATTCAGCCAGGATACAAAGCAGTGTAACTTCATTATTTTCAGAGGCTGAAGAAAATTCAGAAAATTTTCGTAGGCCATCCTCAACTGTAATTAGCCAATCTCCTTTGAGAGGGAAACAGATTGTTGTAAGAATATTAAACGATTAAACAACAACAACAAGCCTTTTCCCCAGATCGGGGTGCAAGGCAGCTTGCAGATAGAACGGAAACAGCTAAAATACAAAACCATTGATTGGCCAGGTATGTAACTTATATTGTGTTCTTATGCCTCATTCAAGGAAGCCCCGTGAATTTTGGTACAACATAGACACACAGCTTACTGTCCACCCTACAGGTACACATATTGGCACACAAATCAGCACCTGCTGGTGGGGTGGCATTACTTTCCCAGTTTCCCATTGTGCAAGTCGCTGCCAATAACCGAGATGGGGAGTCAAGGTGGCATGGAGATTGGCATGGTGCAGGTGTAGTGGCAGAGTCAAGCTGACACTCCTAATGCTGTGCTGAAACTGTACTGACCTCCCCACTGCTTTACCCCTTTCAGTTACTGACAGCGACCTCTGTTTTGGTAAGCCAGGTAAACAGTGTCATCCCACTGTGCTCCATTGGTCACTATCGATGCAGATAACAGCATTCATCACTGACTAGGGGGCTAATCTATCCCCTTATAGCAAGAGCCAGAGGGCAGATAATCGCAAAAGGTTGCACTACCAAGCATAAGGTGTGTAGGCTAAAATGCCATATAAGGTGAGCTGCTTTTATATGGGTTATCAATACATACAAATTTAGAACACTAGATAGCCATTGCCAGTCAGTGTAGGCAGTATTCAGCTAGATGGACCAATGACTGCATATGGCAGCTTATTATGTTCCTAAATTCTAGTTCTGCTTGAAACTCAGATCAGAATTTTTGTCCAAGGAATGGGAACTCCCACTTTAAGGGGTTTTCTGTGAGCCAGGAGGATGCAGCCTCTACCTAAACATTTAAGGCTGAAGGTCCACTAACAATTGCCAGCTCTTAATTTTGTCATACACAATTCCCTAACCACATCATTTCCTTAGCAGCATTTTTAAACAGACTTGTGTGCGTAAAAATCCCACATGTTCCCTTGTTTTTTGTATGTGTATGTTCTTTCAGATATAGAAGTTTTTTGTATGTGTATGTTCTTTCAGATATAGAAGTTTTTTGTATGTGTATGTTCTTTCAGATATAGAAGTTTTTTGTATGTGTATGTTCTTTCAGATATAGAAGTTTTTTGTATGTGTATGTTCTTTCAGATATAGAAGTACATGTGCAGAGTACATTATCTCTAGGTTGTTGGTTTTTTTGGAAGCTTCTCTAGTGCTTTCCTCAGTCACGAGCAGTGCTTATTTTCTGGGGGGATGCAGGGGTACGCATACCCCTAAACATTTTGTGAATCTAAGTTTGGCCTCATTGAGGGGCAGTATTTCAATATGAGTAGGAAAATGAGAGTACCACTAAACATTTTTTTAGAACAAAAGCACTGGTCACGAGGAATGTATTTTTTTCCAAATGCCTGCAAGAGTTTCTTCAAGAGCCAAGCCTGAAGCAAACTTCCTACCAACCCTTCTCTAAAGACTTTCTCTGGGAAGGAAGGTGCTTCTCCAGCGGTCTTCCAGACCACGATCCGGACAGCTTCAGTTACCATGGCACTGCAGACATTCTCCATGCTTCGCCATATTCTATGAAAAAATGCTCGGGGCAAACCCCCATCTTTCGTGGAAATTTGGCATGACCGTCTCCTTCACTCCTGGCCTGTCCTTCCGCCGATCTCGGCACAAAGAGGTTAATAAATGTTTACTTCACCCCCCTCCCCTTGCCCCCCTCCCCCCAATGTTTCCATATGGCTTGTTCACAGGCTTGTGCTTGTTTGTGTCTGAATGCCCACTTGCATTGACTGGTGTGAGGGAATTGTTCCACTCATGCTGGCCATCCTCAAATCAATGCCGGCCTCTAACAAGAGAAAGTGCCTCAGATGTAGTGGTTTCCACAGGACCATTGTTGGCCTTTTGTTAAGCATTTTTGAACCTAATAAATAATGTCAAAAGTCTCTTTCCTAGCCAAAAATGTTCCTTTTGAAAACCCTTCTAGTAGTATTTTTGTTCAGTGATGGCTTCCAGTGTTGCAAAGAATTTGCACTTTACAATGGTAATTTGATGTATCGCGTGCCATGTTGCAATATGGATTTTTTTTTTTAATGCTGAAGTGTTGTCACTAGATGGAAATCTCTATTTCTTTAACATGTTCTCAAACAGAGGTCCTTTCAGGGTGTAACTGTTTCAAATGGGATTAAATATCATAATCAAGAGCTGAAGTGGAGAAATAGATTATATATATATATATATATATATATATCTGTTCCAGTAACAAGAAGCCGAAAGCACCAGCCTGAAGATGACGAGTGAGACCTCGTCGAAACGTCGCCTAGACACCCCAACTTTTACACGGGAAGACACCCGAGGACACCAAAACCTGCATTCCTGTACCCGTGAAAATCTACGAAAGCAAATATATATATATATATATATATATATGACTTTAATTAGAGTGTGATGGTGGTGGTTGTAAGATTTAAACTTGGGCATTATACATTGAGAAAATTTGATGGCAGTTTATTGTGAAACAAATCCTAGCTAATTGGTCAAGGATATTTCTATATATCTACAGTGGTACCTCGCAAGACGAATGCCTCACAAGACAAAAAACTCGCAAGACGAAAGGGTTTTTTGAGCTGCTTCGCAAGACGATTTTCCCTATGGGCTTGCTTCGCAAGACGGAAACGTCTTGCAAGTTTGTTTCCTTTTTCTTAACACCGTTAATACAGTTGCAACTTGACTTCGAGGAGCAACTCATAGCACGCGGTGTGGTAGCCTTTTTTGAGGTTTTTGAAGACTTTGGTGATTTTTGAAGCTTTTCCAAAACTTTCCCGAAACCGTGCTTCGCAAGACGAAAAAAATCGCAAGATGAAAAAACTCGTGGAACGAATTAATTTCGTCTTGCGAGGCACCACTGTATATCTATCACAAGTCATTGCATATTTTATATTTCCACTGTTTTTAATAGTTACAAACTTAAATTCATTTCTAGCGAAGTCAGATTAATAATTTGGGTTTAAAGCCCAGCAAGCAGGATCTGTGTTATATTGACAAATGATTGTATGTTAAAATTCCTAATACTAAGTGAACATGCAGAAGTGCCCTATTCAGTCCCCTGGCATATCCACATAGGATTGTGAAAGTATTGTGCCTGAAATGCTGGGGAGTTGTGCTAGTCATTGTGTTCAGTTCTGAGCTACGTGGACCAGTGGTCTGACTTTGCGTTAAGGGAGCTTCCTATATTCCTATATGTTCTGAGGCCTTCTAGCTCCCGTGAGCTCATCTGAGCTTTCTCAGGCCTTGCAGCACATGGCATTCTATAAATAACACACCAAGCAACCAGCCTTGATTTGTTTCTCTGGGTGTATTAGCATTTTCAGATAACAAGGCAAACTGGAAAACATTGCGGGCACAATCCATCTTAAATTAAGGACTTTTAAATTCCTGCAATTTCAATAGGAGGGATTTAAGCACCTGCTCAGTTCACCCCCTTGAAATCAGTGGGACTTAAGAGTGGTTTCTCACTGGCTGGATTGGACTCCAGATAACTTCAGCATTATGGGTTGAGGTCACTTGATGCTTAAGTCTTTAGCTACTTTCCAAACCATCATTTCACTCTCAGAAAATTAGCATGTGCCTGTTTTGTACTGAAGATAGGGAAATGAATGCCTTTTATGGCCACCTCAGAAAAAAAGAGCTTTCTAATGTGCTGTGTGCTGTGGCATTGGGCCACTCTCTATGTTATCAGCAAAAAACACACAAACTAAAGCAAACATTAAGTTCCTGAATGGAGCAGATAATTTAGCACTAGGTGAGACATTATCCATGATTTGTAAGTGTCTAGGCACTGAAATTAATTCACCTGGACATAATGGCATAAATATTTTTGGACAATTTGGCATTTTCTTACGCTCATTTCTATACCTTCTTTATGTTAAAAAGAAAAGAATAGAACACACAGCTCCACAGCAGCGTGGTATATAGATCAATAGTGTGATGAAAATTGCACTTCACTAAAAGTACTACTCATAGTGAAAAAATGACAGATCAGTCACTGGGAATTGACAAGTTAAAGAGTGCAAAAATGCACATAGTATAGCTTGAGGAAAGAGAAATTTCTGTTTCTGACACAACCCCCCACAACACCCTCCCCCCAAAGCTCTTGAACATCAACCTCGGTTTTCCATCTGCAATATGGGGGTAATATTACTGACTTCCATTATCTTGTGAGGTTTGTTGAGATTATGTCTGTGGTGTAAAGTGCTTTGGGCAACCAAAAAACATCACACAAAACTCATATATATATATATTATTAAGTTAGTGCATAGATGGTATACTTGCAAGCAATTCTGTGATATTTTGGTTGTTCTAACAAAGGCATTGCCCTTAAATGGATTTTGAAATTTTCTCAAGGGCCAGCACAGCTACCTTTACTTTTTGGATATTTAAGTTGTCATGAACTAACCAAAGATACACAGAAATATGTACAAGGATGAGGAGTACTGATAATGATCCCAGATGAAAATAGATGTCCATTCCTTTGCATTTGTATCTTACAAAAGGGATTTGAAATAATAATAAAAAATTGTTCAGTAGCACCTTAAGAGACCAACTAAATTTGTTCTGGGTATAAGCTTTTGTGTGCATGCACACTTTTTCAGATAGGGATTTGGGCAGTTCCAAGGAACTGAGGAAAGCAGGACCTTAACTGAGTTGTCCTCACAGCAACCCTTTGTGTTAATTTCAGTTCATGGAGAATGAAACATCCAAAAGCTGCCTCAATGTGTAAGGATTTGAATCCACACCTGTCCAGTTCTAGTCCAATATACGTTCACTCTACCTCACTATATTGACTCCCTGGATGGTGGATGCCACGTACAATTATCCACTTATATATTTGTAGATCTTATCTTGCATTTTTTTTTTAAAAAAGCAGTGAAAATGTTAATGCCATTGTGGTTAAAATATCTGTAACTGTGTTTTCTTTTCTGCTGATGATCACCTTACATTAGGGCTCAGTCCACTGGGACATTCTCCTGTGTAACCCCTATGAAATGAATGAGAGCTGAGCAAGACTACAGCATGTTATCTACTCAGCAGATCACCTTTGTTGTTCTCAGTAC